CGCCGTGTCATATCGGCCTTCCAGACTCTCAAGAAGGATGGCTCATGGCGCCGCTTCACAGCGGCCTCTATCGAGGGAGGCACTCAGGTGCCCATCTTCGTCGGCCTGGGCAAATCTCCCCAGGCCATCCGCCGCGAGATCCAGACGAAGCGTCTCCTCGAGCTCGTGCGAGATGCTGGAGTGGAAGGGCGCTGGCGTGCCAACCGTCACGCTGGAGTCATCGCCGACGGCTCGCAGCCCGTCATCAAGCTGGTCGCGGGTGAAACGGCAGAGGACCCGACGATTCTTGAGTGGAATTATCGTGCTGTGCATGCTCGCAACCTCCCTCGCGACGCCATCAAGCAGTCCTTCGACGAATTTTTCGGCTCCACCGAGAAGGTCCAGTGGGCTATTTCGCACTCGTTTTGCTCCCTGGCGAGATCCTGGCGAGTTCCGCGAGTGCGCGGCAATCGGGTCATGGAACGCTCGTGCGCTTGTGCATCATGATGCTGCCACGAGGGGCCGCAAGTTTCGCCATCTGCAGTCTTACCTCGGACAGGGCACAGCGATTTGCATTCAGGAGGTGCACGGCAATGCGATTGAATTTATGCCAGAACTTCACCGCCATCATGTCCACGCTCAGGTCTTCATGAACATTGAAGACAGGCGTGACACTGGTGGAACAGTTATCCTTCTACCTGGGCGCTTCGCAGCTACGGATGCCCCCAGATACTCTCATGAGATTATAGTCACTGGCCGTGTTCAGCGACTCCGTGTTTCAGGCCCCGCGTCGGACTCCCCTCCCCCATCGCCCATTATATATAACGTCCACAACTTCGGCATCAGTGGAGAAGAGATGACTAAGATCGAAGATCGGACTCGCACTGACATCGCTATGGCCCAGTCGGCGCCGAAGATGGTTACGCTGCTGCTGCTCGGTGATTTGAACATACTGGCGGCGCCGCCCCTGCTGGTTCAGACCCCCCTCATCAACAGGGGCCTCATGGGCACGGACGACGCAGTGCCTCGGCCACTGGAGCGCCGCTGGAATGCCATTTTCTCTGACTTCGTTGAGCTTGACAACGAGCTCCCCACACTCTTCTGGCAAGAGGATGGTTCGCCGCCGAAGCTGTCGCAGATTGACAGAGCGTGCTTAGCCTCTCCTTCGTGGCTGGCGATACTGTGACATGTCACGCTCTCAACGCGTGACCTCCCTGAACGGCTACATGAGGTTGGTCTTAGTGACCACGCGCCCATTGTGGTTACCTTTGCTGGCCGGCCGCCGATGGACAGTAAGACGCAACCGATCCCACGATACATCTTCAAGAGCCCTGAGTATGCGAGGCAGTATCAGCTCTTAGCTAATCATGTTCAATGGCACGTTCTTCATCCTTAGCAGCGGAGACTTGAGCATAAGCGACTCATACGTGAAGCTGCTCGACGTGTTCGGGACAGTATCTTCAAGCACGGAGCTCATGACAACGACTCGAAGTTGCTCATCTTCCGCTCGATCGCCAGAGCGGTCTGGAGGGGCGATATCAAGCTGGCGGAGCGCCTGATCGCATCGTCACCGCTCGCTGCCGAGCACCTCTTGATCACCAGCAACTCGGTCTCCCTCTCGAACCCATCGGACTTCGCAGTGGCTTTCGCAGCTGAGCAGAGCATCTACTCCGAGCGTCGACTCGCTGATCTCGATCGTCGGGCCCAGGCAGCTCCTCCTGGCGGCGCGTCGTTCAAGCACATCATCGCCATGAGGCGGGCCACCAGACGAAGGGCTGCACTCTGGGCCCCATTCAAGCGCACTCTCAAACTTCAGGGATTGCGTCTTCCTGATTCTGGCGGCCCGCATGACCTGGGACAGGGAGCGGAGAGAATCGCGAATGCTCAGGCTGACGTGTTCGAAGAGTTGCGCAAGCACTGGTCGCCGATATTCCAGCGTGATCTTCCCGAACACCCCTTTGTGCGGCGCTACTTGGAGGAGCACCCCGTGGTGATTGATGGCCTCGAGGACATTCGTCTACCTGACTCTCGCGATCTTCAGCGGGCGGCACGGAGGGCTCGCGCCTCAACACCAGGCCCAGACGGACTGCCGTATGATGCATGGAGCTGCTGTGGGTCATCGCGCCCTCTGGAAGACCTGGCGCAGGTGGGGCTCGAGGTCACGCAGGGCTCCCCGCCACCGCCTGACCTCAACGACCACCTGATGGTTTTCCTGCCCAAAGGTGCCGAGGCTGACGATCTGGCATCGGGCCCGACCCACCCGCCATCCACGACGAGACCTCTGGCCCTCAAGAACACAGATGTGAAGCTGCTGGCCGCCAGTGTAAATTACCTCATCAAGTTCGACATCGAGCGCCACTCCCCCTCTTCTCAGAGGGGGTTCCTACCTGGGCGCGACTTCCTGGACAACATCACCTTGCTCGACACGGCCGCTCGTCGAGTGGGCTTCTCCTCCACCAGGGACCAGCGCATGCCGTTGATGGTCCTCTTCGACTTCGGGGACGCTTTCCCTTCCCTGGCCGTCTCCTGCCGGCGCGCAGTGCTGCTGCGGGCTGGCTTCCAGGGCGGCCTCTACCAGCGCATCATGGGCATGCGCTGGCTGCCGCAGGCCTTCGTATCCATGGAGGACGAGCTGCGTCGCTTCATGCTAGTCACGGCGGGCATTGCTCAGGGCTGCCCGCTCTCGGGGTCCCTGTGGGCTGTAGCCATGAACCCCTTCGTGGCTCACATGGAGCACATCCTCGAGCAATGGGGGTCCTCCGCGGTGGGCGTCTGTGCGGACGACGTCGGCGCGGCCCTGCAGGATCGCAGGCTTCTTCTCCGCCTGCGCAGGGTCTTCACTGCGGCGCAGGCATTGGCAGGTCTGGCCCTGAAGCTGGCCAAGTGCAAGGTCGCGCCCTTGAACGCCGCATTCTCCGAGGAGCTGGCTGCAAACATCAAGGAGTGGCTCGCACTGGAGCTGCCTGGCTGGGAGCAGATGGACGTCGTTCCGTTCGCCGCGTACCTAGGCTATATCTTGGGCCCAGGCGCCACGACCGATGATGCGTGGCAGGAGGCTGGCGCCAAATGGACCCATCGCATTCGCGACCTTGCTCGAGAGGGGGCGCCGGTGCACCTCGCGACTGTGATCTACAACTCGCGCGTGCTCACGGTCCTCAGCTATTTGATGCAGCTGGCGCCGCTGCCCCGCGCGCTCATCAGGCGCGAGGCTTGGGCGCGGCGCAAGCTCTGGCATCTCCCACCGCAGTCGATCTCGCTTGCTGGACTTCTGGGAATCGGGAGCTGGTCGACGCTGCGACCTGCCAGCATGCAAGTCCTCAGCTTGGCCTCTCGTATGCGCGCAGCCATCAGCACGGTCACCAACTGGTCGCCCCTGATCAAGACGCTGCATGAGGCGACGCTCGCCTTCGGCAGCCTCGCAGAGGTGGGCCCTGGCTGGTGGTCGCCTGACTTCTGGAGAACAAAAGCGATCGCGGTCCACATTTCTGAGGCCAGCAAGGCCGCCTTTCCTTTGAAGACTCACGCCTCGGCCGCCCGCGCTGCCCTGACCGCCCTTGCCGAAGCTTCGGAACTGGGATGCGTAAACGTGCAGAGATCCCTTTCCTCTTCTCTTCGCCTCGCTCTTTACCCCGACGTCCTCCACCTCACTCTTGCTAAGCGTATGGCCTCTTGGGCGCTCCCATTTTCGGAATCGTTCTGGGATGCCCTCAGAGATCTCATTCGCAATGGAGGCCCTCCTGCATGGCAAAGTGTTGCCCTGAAGACGATTGTGGGAAGTTGGCTCACCAGCGCACGTTTGCACTCGTCAGAGATCGGCCTGTGTAGATTCCAATGCGCTCAATGCCGAGACGACATGTTGCACTATATGCATTGCCTTGTCCTTTGGAGGCTTGTATACCATCCTGACCCGCCTCCTGTTTGTCCCTCCACGCGTCTTGGGCTCGATGGTCACCCTTCGCTTGAGATCGTTGAGAGGATTGTGCGGGCTTACCACATATACAATATTGTCCGCACCGCCCCCGCTCTCGGCCCTCTCGACAGTGAGGAGGCTCTTGGGAGGCATCATTACAATATACGGCGTGCTGCCCAGATCTTTGTAGAGCACTCTAGAGCGCCCTTCTAGATCTGATCGGCGGGACCCGTCTGGACTCCTCAAGGTACGAGTGACATATATATATATATACACACGTATATATATATATATACACAGAAGTACACACGTGCACATATATATATATATATAGAGAGAGAGAGAGCGAGAGAGAGAGAGACTCCCCTGACAGCTCCCTCCCTCCCTCTCTCTTTCTCTCTCTCTCTCTCTCTCTCTCTCCCTCCCTCCCTTTCTCTCTGGCGTCATTGTATACACAGGTCGCTCGATGAGTCGCTCGCGAGGCGGCCCGCTTCCACGCTCGCGCTGTTCAGCGGTTTCGTGAAACGTTGGCTCACCTCGGCCTCTCAAGGGGACGCTCACTCCTCCCAGAGGCGGTGAGCACTGCGGAGGCTTTTCTGGAGGCTTTGGAGGACCCCCCGGGCAGTTTTCCTGGATGCGTTTTCGCAGTGTTGAAACATCGACACGTATCCAGACCCCTGGCGTCGTGATTTTTTCCCTGGGCCAGCGTTTCATCCCGAGTCGTTGTCCTGACGGTAGATGGGGCCCAGTACAAGGGCCCCCAAAGGCCGAAAATTGTCTAAAGCCTCCCGTCGTGATTTTTGTCACGACGCGAGGGGGTTTGGGTATGCCCAGTAGACATATTGATCTGAATAACAATTCTCATGGGTTCCAGATTTTGTATGACAAAATCGAGAATATCGAATGGATCCTGGGCGTGTTCTCAGAGCTGTTTTCTGACCCGCAGAATTGTCGTATATTTGAGCCCAGACATTTGTGTAAGAAACCGCTTCGGGTGAATTCTATTTTCTTAGCTTAGAGTTCTTTTAGCTCTAACCAGGGGTGTACCGAAATCGGCCTCAGGGACCTCGCGGTGACGCCGGCGGCGACGTCGGCGTCGAGCCCGCGAAAGGAAGTCTGCACCGCGGAGCATGAGGTGCAGGTCCTGCGGGGTGAGGTTGCGGCCGCCGACCGAGAGGCGCGGCAGCTCCACCAGCTGGCCAGAGAAGCGGACGCGCTCCCTCCCCCTCCCCATCTCAGGATGATGGTGATGTTGTCGATGATTAGGGGGAGGAGGAGAAGGAGGATGCTGCTGCTGCTGTAACTGCTGCTGCTGCTGCCAATGATGATGAAGACGAAGATGAAGATGATGATGGTGCTGTTGATGATGAGAATGATGATGATGATGATGATGATGATGATGATGATGACGATGATGATGATGATGATGATGGTGGTGATGATGATGACGATGATGATGATGATGATGATGATGATGATGATGATGATGATGATGGCGATGGTGCTGATGGTGCTGATGGTGCTGATGGTGATGATGGTGATGATGGTGATGATAGTGATGATGGTGATGATGGTGATGATGGTGATGATGGTGCTGAGGATGACGATAGTGGAGGTGGTGGTGGTGGTCGTCGTGGTGGTGATGGTGGTGAGGAGGGGGAGGAGGAAGACCAGTGTAAACCCAAGAGTCATCAACGATGTTGGAATGAACCCTCCCTCTACGCTCCCTCTGCGTAGGCCCCTACAACGGTTCATTTCCATTGAGGGAACTGCCTCGCTGGAAGACAACCGTTTAAAAATCCTGAAGCGTGCCAAACAATTGCTCTCGGGGTTTCAATGCCACGTTTCAACCTGACTGCTGCGTCTTGACGCTCCGGAGTCGTGCCAGAACGCCAGTTTGGGGACTTCAACACCCCGAATCAACCTAACCGCTGCGCCCGCGTAATCCTGAACCTTCCTAAACACCATTTCTGGTACGTTGATCATGGGAACCCATGAAACCTCATGCAAATGTGTACAACGAATGCGCGAGGCGCTGAGGCGAAGGCCACATTTTGAAAAGGAACCGCCCTCAATCCGCGAAGCTCTTACAATTTGTGAAAACCAATGCACGCGGCGCTGGGGCGAGAGCCACATTTCGAAAAGGACCCGCCCTCAACCTGTTTGAAATTAATGTCCGCGGCGCTGAGGCGAGAGCCACATTTTGAAAAGGTACCGCCCTCAATCCGTGAAGCTCTTGCAATTTCATACGAATGTGCGCGGCGCTAGGGCGAGAGCCACATTTTGAAAAGGAGCCGCACTCAATCCGTGAAGCTCTTGCAAATGTTAAAAACGAATGTGCGCGGCGCTAAGGCGAGAGCCACATTTTGAAAACGACCCGCCCTCAATCCGTGAGATTCTTGCGAATTTCTAAAACGAGCGTGCGCGGAGCTAAGGCGAGAGCCACATTTTGAAAACGACCCGCCTTCCATTTGTGAAACTGGTGTCACATTTAATCTTCAGGGTCACAAATGGCGAGGAAGTCTCAGGCGAAACCCGGCCTGCCCTAAAAACTGGCCTCGGGGTGCGACAGGGAGAAGTTATCTATAAGGGGAAGGAATGGAGGAGAAGGAGGAGGATGCTGATGCTGCTGGTGATGATGATTAGCATGATGATGATGAGGATGAGGATGAGGATGAGGATGAGGATGAGGATGAGGATGAGGATGAGGATGAGGATGAGGATGAGGATGATGAGGATGCTGAGGATGTTGAGGATGATGATGCTGATGATGATGCTGATGGGCATGATGAGGGTGAGGATGAGGATGAGGCTTAGGTGAGGATGAGGCTGAGGGTGAGGATGAGGATGATGCTGATGATGACGATGGTGCTGATGCTGATGATGCCGATGATAATGCTGATAGTGAGAATGAGGATGATGATGAGGGTGGGCATGAGGATGAGGGTGAGGATAAAGGTGGTGACGATGACGATGACGATGATGACGACGATGACGACGATGATGATATTGATGGTAGTAATGGTACCCACCGGTCGTTGAAAGTAGGTATTTTTGGATTCCCAGATCCCAATCTACTTTAAGCGCCTTCCTATTTCAAGAATCTATATTTTTTGTTTTTTTTGGGGGCGGGCGCAAACCTAATCTACTTCGTGGGGATTGGTTGTCACTTCCCTGGGCGACGCTGGTCGCTCGGCCCCTCGGCTGGCCCCATTCCTTGGTTTTGATTGTTTTGTTTGTTTTCGCTTGTCCGTCGGCTGCACTGGTCGCCCCAGTGTCGCCCGCCGCCCCGCGGTCGCTCGGCCTGGCCCAATTCCTTGGTTGTGTTTGTTTCTGTTTGTTTTCGCTTGCCCGTCGGCTGCACTGGTCGCCCCAGGCTCGCCCACCTCCCCGCGGTCGCTCGGCCCCTCGGCTTGCCCCATGCAATGGTTTTGTTTTTTTTTGTTTTGTTTTTTTTCGCTTGTCCGTCGGCTGCACTGGTCGCCCCGGGCTCGCCCACCTCCCCGCGGTCGCTCGCCCCCTCAGTTTGCCCCATTCCTTGGTTTTGTTTGTTTATGTTTGTTTTCGCTTGTCCGTCGGCTGCACTGGTCGCCTCAGGCTCGCCCGCCGCCCCGCGGTCACTCGGCCCCTCGGCTGGCCCCATTCCTTGATTTTGTTTGTTTTTGTTTTATTTCGCTTCTCCGTCGGCTGCACTGGTCGCCCCAGGCTCGCCCGCCGCCCCGCGGTCGCTCGGCCCCTCGGCTGGCCCCATGCACTGGTTTTGTTTGTTTTTGTTTGTTTTCGCTTGTCCTTCGGCTGCACTGGTTGCCACAGGTTCGCCCGCCGCGTCTCGGTCGCTCGGCCCCTCGGCTGGCTCATTTTTTTTTGTTTTGTTTGCTTTTGCTTGTTTTCGCTTGTCCGTCGGCTGCACTGGTCGCCTCAGGCTCGCCCGCCGCCCCGCGGTCGCTCGGCCCTTCGGCTGGCCCCATTCCTTGGTTTTGTTTGTTTGTGTTTGTGTTCGCTTGTCCGTCGGCTGCACTGGTCGCCCCAGGCTCGCCCGCCGCCTTTCGGTCGCTCGCCCCCTCGGCTGGCCCCATTCCTTGGTTTTGTTTGTTTTTTGCTTGTTTTCGCTTGCCCGTCGGCTGCAATGGTCGCCCCGGGCTCGCCCGCCGCACAGCGGTCGCTCTGCCTTTCGGCTGGCCTCATTCCGTTGTTTTGTTTGTGGTTGATTGTTTTCGTTTGTCCGTCGGCTGCACTGGTCGCCACAGGCTCGCCCGCCGCCTTTCGGTCGCTCGACCCCTCGGCTGGCCCAATTCTTTGGTTTTGTTTGTTTTTGTTTGTTTTGGTTTGTCCGTCGGCTGCACTGGTCGCCTCAGGCTCGCCCGCCGCCCTGCGGTCGCTCGGCCTCTCGGCTGGTCGATTTCTGTGTGTTTGTTCGTTTCGTTTGTTTTCGCTTGTCCGTCGGCTGCACTGGTCGCCCCAGGCTCGCCCGCCGCCCCGCGGTCGCTCGGCCTCGGCGGGCCCCATTCATGGTTTTGTTTGTTGTTGTTTGTTTTCGCTTGTCCGTCGGCTGCGCTGGTCGCTCCAGGCTCGCCCGCCGCCCCGCGGTCGCTCGGCCTCTCGGCTGGCCCCATTATTTGGTTTGGTTTGTTTTTGTTTGTTTTCGCGTGTCCGTCAGCTGCACTGGTCGCCCCAGGCTCGCCCGCCGCCCCGCGGTCGTTCGGCCCCTCGGCTGGCGCAATTCGTTGGGTTTGTTTGTTTTTGTTTGTTTTTGCCTGTCCGTCGGCTGCAATGGTCGCCCCAGGCTCGCCCGCCGCCCCGCGGTCGCTCGGCCCCTCGGCTGGCCAGATTCGCTGGTTTTCTTTGTTTTTGTTGGTTTTCGCTTGTCCGTCGGCTGCACTGGTCGCCCTGCGCACGCCCGCCGCCTTTCGGTCGCTCGGCACCCCGGCTGGCCCCAGTCCTTGGTTTCGGTTGGTTTCTGTTTGTTTTCGCTTGTCCGTCGGCTGCACTGGTCGCCTCAGGCTCGCCCGCCGCCTTTCGGTCGCGCTGCCCTGCCCCTCGGCTGGCCATATGCTTAGTTTTGTTTGTTTTTGTTTGTTTTCGCTTGTCCGTCGGCTGCGCTGGTCGCTCCAGGCTCGCCCGCGGCTTTTCGGTCGCTCGGCCCCTCGGCTGGCTCATTTCCGTGGTGTTGTTTGTTTTGGTTTGTTTTCGTTTGTCCGTCGGTTGTACTTGTGGCCCCAGGCTCGCCCGCCGCGTTTCGGTCGCTCTGCCCATCGGCTGGCCGAATTCAATTGTTTTCTTTGTTTTGTTTGTTTTCGCTTGTCCGTCGGCTGCACTGGTCGCCCCAGCCTCTCCCGCCGCTTTCCGGTCGCTCGGCCCCTCGGATCGCCAAATTCATTGGGTTTGTTTGTTTTTGTTTGTTTTCGCTTGTCCGTCGGCTGCACTGGTCGCCCCAGGCTCGCCCGCCGCCTTTCGGTCGCCCGGCCCCTCGGCTGGCCCCATTCCCTGGCTTTCTTTGTTTCTGTTTGTTTCGCTTGTAGGGAATGGGGCCAGCCGAGGGCTCCGAGCGACCGAAAGGCGGCGGGCGTGCGCAGGGCGACCAGTGCAGCCGACGGACAAGCGAAAACAAACAAAAACAAACAAAACCGATGCATTTGGCCAGCCGAGGGGCCGAGCGACCGAACGGCGGCGGGCGGGCCTGGGGCGACCAGTGCAGCCGACGGACAAGCGAAAACAAACAAAAACAAACAAAACCTATGAATTGGGCCAGCCGAGGGGCCGAGCGACCGAACGGCGGCGGGCGGGCCCGGGGCGACCAGTGCAGCCGATGGACAACCGAAAACAAACAAAAACAAACAAAACCACTGCATTTGGCCAGCCGAGGGGCCGAGCGACCGAAAGGCGGCGGGCGAGCCTGAGGCGACCAGTGCAGCCGACGGACAAGCGAAAACAAACAGAAACAAAGAAAGCCAGGGAATGGGGCCAGCCGTGGGGCCGAGCGATCGAAAGGCGGCGGGTGTGCGCAGGGCGACCAGTGCAGCCGACGGACAAGAAAAACAAACAAAACCAGTGAATTTGGCCAGCCGAGGGGCCGAGCGACCGAACGGCGGCGGGCGGGCCTGGAGCGACCAGCGCAGCCGACGGGCAAGCGAAAACAAGCAAAAACAAACAAAACCGATGAATTGGGCCAGCCGAGGGGCCGAGCGACCGCGGGGCGGCGGGCGAGCCTGA